ATTGCAACTGAGCGAAAACAAATTTTGAAAAGCTGTGGAATAGTATCAAGCACAGCTTATGAAGCTCACCAATGTCCTCCTCAGTGCAGTGGTAGTCTCAAAGGATCTCACATCGAAAATCTGTCCCGTGCTGTCCTAGATGTAAACGTACACGAAGTAAGAATTTCCCACAAAACTGAACTGAATATTCGCAGAGAATGAAATAAAAAATAGCAGCGCGCATCGGACTAGCCGGTGCGATCATGCCTTTTGTGCAATTCAGCCCGTCGAACGATTGCCTATTAATGATTTTCACAGCTTTGTACTTTATTCTATGCAGAAATAGTTCAAACACTGGAAAACAGTTAAAAATTTCATACACCGGCGCATGAAAGCTGAATTCGAAACCTTGAAGGGTGAATATCCTTTCGTGACTACCGAGTTAATAGTATAGCCGCCAAAATTCTCACGAAGCCGAAGGTGATACTCAACAGCGAGGAAACGCTGAATTTAAATGGGCAAGGTTGAGTGGACAGGGAGGTCATTACCCTAAAATTTCAGCCTGCTAGACTCCGTGGTTCCCGAGATATTAATTTATCCGTAAAAAACTTTCATGAGGCCGTACGCGTTACCCGCGGGTACGGGAAGGCTGAATTTAAATTTGCGGAGTCACACGTGGGGAGGGGAACGTTCCCCTAAATTTTCAGCTTCCCAGCTTTTGTGGTTCCCAACTTTTGTGGTTCCCAGCTTTTGTGGAGTTGAAAGTTGCGAACAAGTTGCTGCGGACACACACACATACAAACACACACAGACAACCCCGTGACAATATGCGTTTTGTACTTCTGTTACACAGCACAAAACGCATAAAAAACTTAATGCCGACTGTACAAAATTTTACTGATATTTTCACCGGAAGTATATTTTCAGACTTACCACTAAAATTCCGAGTATCGGTAGCTGTTGGTGCGGTAGCGCCTGTATAAGCACCAAGTTGACGAAGGTAAATGTCCTTCATGCGCAGCTGTTTGTGAGCCTCCTCGAGCTCCGCCTGTGCGGCCTCCGTTTCTTTCATGCATACTCGCAAACGTTCCTAAATATCCTACCAAACTTGTTATTGGCAATGATGTTCGAAAAAGGCACTGCCTAATCACAGCAAAAGTATCTTTCACTCTCTTAATGATCCCCAAGATTTATCCGAGTAAATCTTTGGCCACAGCGCCCTTTGCTTAATCCCGAGATTCCCAGGTGGGCGATGCCTCCCTCAGCAGTCGCGCTTTCTGATCAGCAATGCTGGCGTAATAATACAACCGAAATATTTACACAATGCGGAGCTATTCGTCCACCCCAGCTGTCACGTGGGTTTTTTGCGGCCTCTCCCGTCCCTCTGGGTATCCTCATGCGCGATTCCCAGCAACCCGTCCTGCCTATTTTTTCGGCACAGAGGAAACTTTTCAGCTGAAGAATGAGATCAGTGAACAGTGTACAAAATATCCTGCAAGAGGCTACAAGCAAACCTGTGCGTCATTCCTGTCCTGCTGCACACGAATAAGTTTGTCCTGCCAAGTCAGTGCTTCTTTCCGATCACTTTCTGCTTCCTGCGCTTGCCTCTGCATAGCACCACTAAGCGATGTCACTTCCTTACGCAGCGAACTGATTTCTGCCTCCAACGACAGGATACGCGAAGTTTTATCGTTCAATTCAATCTTGAATTTAAAAAAAATTCATGCATTTTTTACACAGATACCCACCAAACAGCAAGATTATGCAAAAAATTTACGGACCAATAGAATTACTTCCTCAATTTCCAGCCTCTGCAGAACAAGTGACTCTCGCTTTCAAAAAAAAAAAAAATTCACTGTAAAAAATGCCTGCTATAATTTTTTCGAAGCGACAAAGAAATGCGTTCAGAGAAAAATGTCCCTCCCTCCCGTCCCTCCTTGTATTCGGTCTTCATGAGAGGCGGAGGCACTCGGAAGTAGCCCCAAAAGTGACAGGTATAATAGCAATCACCCGTCGGTAGGGAAATCGACGAATTCCTCCTTAAATTCATATTTTGAATCACGCTGAGCAAGTTTGAATCCGTGGGCAACCCCAATTAAACAGCGAAACAAATGAAAGAATCTGAGTGGGATTGGTTGTCCGAATGGGGAATCGAATCTTCAATTCTCTGCACGACAGCGGTTCTGATTTTCACTGTGCAAAGATTCATAGCAAAAAATGTAATAATAAATTTCAATTTGCGGTTTGATTTTTTAAAAAACACTGAATTTCAATGAGAAGCAGAACATGCCGAAAGGTTCCGGAGCTGTTTGGAACGGTCCTCGGCCATCTCGTGTGATTCCCTCAACTGCTGTTGTAGTGCTGTTTTTTCTTTCACAACAACGCTCATCGCCTAAAAAAAAGACCATTTTCTGGCTTTTTTTTTCCGAAGACGCGGCTGCTTGCTGGACTCAGGAAATTTGGATGATGTTTGTCGCAAAACATACTTCAAAAGGATTCTGGTTCTTCGACTAAAACAAAAAAGCAACCAACCCTACCCTATTTATAAAAGCATTTCCAGTTGTAAAATGTTATAAGCTCGCACTATGACTTTTGAAATTGAATATTTCAGGGTGAATGTGTCTTTAGGCTGGAAAATTTCAGACAAATATGGAGTACCGTTTGTAAATGGGCAAGCTGCGTTTGTAGAGCAGAGCCCGACGTATCGCCATTCTCGATGCATTCCGATAATTTCGAATAAGCGGCGTGGATTTGCGAATAATATCCGCTCTAAAATATTCCAGAATGAGAGAGAAATGCCACGCGCACCGACTAATACTAAAGCAAAAGAGTCACGAAAATACCTGGAAGCTTCTATCGTAATTTTAATTTTAGATGATGTGTGTCTATGTAGAAAGTAAGGGTTTGAAAGTAAGGGAATAAAAAAGAATGTGAATAAGTTAAATCGGAATAAAAACCTGAATTGGAATGTTTGAATAAAAACCCTAAATATGCCTTCTGTGCTGAGAGCGAACTCAAGCGATGGGAACACGCCGGGGAGAGCACGGTGGCCATGCAACTACAAAAGCAGCGTTGCTACTATGCTATTGGGTAAATACTGGGCAACATACCAACTCCGAAAGCTGCGCCGCAAGTTGTGCTTTCTCGGTTACTTGCAAAGCCAATTCATCCTTCAATCGGGCACATTCCTCCTGCAACTCAACATACATCCCAAACTGCTTCGCCGAAAATCCAACAGAAACGGAAACAAAATGCGCTGAAAGGTGGAAAATTCGTTCGCTCGCGGACTCCATCGCACAAGCATTCAGCTCTCTGTCGAAGGCCATGCCAAGGCGAATTCTCGTAACCCATTCAAGAAAGCGTCAACAATTTGTAGTCAAAAAAACCACCTGTTCAATCCAAAAAAAAATTTTACTACGTTTCGTAAGCACTACAAATTATTATATAAAACCTTGGCATCGAAGGCATTCGCCGATTCGTAGAGTCGCGAATCTGAGGCGC